TATATATATATAATAAATTAATTCAAATAGGAAACATAAATTTAGAATAAGAAGTGTTGTCTTATCAAATCGTAAATCTGAACTAATAAAAACGAAGTTAGATATACAAAGTTATACGAGTTAGCAGGTTAAAATAGGATTCAACTTCGAAATTAAACTTGTCATACTTTTCAATTGAACCTGACGCAAAAGTTAATTGGGTCAACCCAAACAAAAAATTTCTGGGTGAGCTCTTCGATTGTTGTGTCATGTCATTTATTGACACTTCTAGTTCAATCAATTTTTTTCTACAAGCCAATATAAAAAGATTATTGAGTCATAACAAAACATTTGTTAATAAGAATTTTTTTTTTCAAACACATGTTAATATAAAAAACTCTTTCCGAGTTGAGTGAGACAGAGTTTGCATGATTTTCTATCAAAGTGCAAAGTCAATGTTGTTCTCAGTTTCATTTTTTCTTTTCTTCCACGTTCATTTCTTCTCGAATTCAACTTTCCTAAGCAGCTTTAGCCCAAAAAAAACTCTTGACAATCAATGTCCATGATTGATGCGTGCCAAAAAATTCACGGCGATAGATTAATGGATTATCGTCTTAGCGTTGCACGAGAATTTAACACACACAGACAACAGAAAAGAAGTGAGTGGGATGAGACACCTCGACTTTTTACGTAGAAACCCTTGAAAGGGGAAAAAAATACGGGGGATTTATCCAAGTTGAAATAATTCATTATAAACACATGTTTAATCTTCCCCTAAATTAGGGAAGATAAAATTACAAAGTTACATAACTATAATCTGTCTGTAGTTCTTGGTGACAAGTTGCATGGGTCATTGTTGATTGTTGTGCATGTAGTAGTCCGTTGTGAGTGTGGTAGATGACTCAAGAAGCGTTGATTAGCCAGAGAAGTCACAGTAGGCAGTTGCGGGAACAGTGAATCGCCAAAACTGTAGTTGGCGAGTATTAATGACGTCTGTAGGCCGCAGGGGTCGAAATCGAGAGTTGCATGAGCTGATGACCACGTAAGTCGTTGGGGCGAATATTGATGACGTTCGTAGGCCGCTGGGACCGAATTCAAGAACTGAATGAGATGATGACCACGTAGGTCGTTGGGGCGAGTATTGATGACGTTTGTAGGTTGTTGAGGCCGAAGTCGGAAAGTGCATGAGCTGATTACCCTGTAAGTCGTTGGCATATGGACCGTAATGGTGAGCGGTGATGACGTCCATAAACCGTTGGGGCCGGAGTCGGGAGCTGCAAGAGTTGATGACTACGTAGGTCGTTGTTGGCATATGGACCGTAGTGGTGAGCAGTGGTGACGTCCATAGACTGTTGAGACCGGAGTCGGGAGTCACATGAGCTAATGACCACGTTGGTCGTAGCAGACATATAAACCGTAGTGGTGAGCTCTTGTCCCACAGACGGAAGAGGGTTGCTAGAATTTTCAAGTTACAACATTGACTGACGGTGTCTAATCGACGGTGGTTGATGACGACCGGTGATAGTCGACGACGGTCGGTGGTGGTCGACGGCGTCCGGTGGTGGTCGACGGCGTCCGGTGATGGTCGACGGCGGGCGGGGCGACGACGGCCGGTGGTGTTCGACGACAGTCGGTGGTTGTGCTGGACTTCAGCTCCTTCTCAAAGTCTCAATTTCTCTCCCAAGGCTTCCGCCCCCGCTTACGACATTGACTAACGGTGTCTGGTCGACGGTGGTTGATGACGGTCGGTGATGGACAACGACGGACGGTGTTCGACGACGGTCGGTGGTTGTAATGTACTTCAGCTCTTCTCAAAGCCTCAAGTTCTCTCCCAAGGCTTCCACCCCCCTTCATGAGAGGGGTAGAGGTTTATTTAAAGTGTTCTGAATATCATTAATGCAGAAATATAGACCATTTTGATTGGACGGTCCGAAAAACATCTCTCGATCATAAGACGTTTAATGGACATTTGAGTGCCTTTTTTATGTCAAAATTGAGTGATTTTGTGCTCATTAGATTCATCTGGTCGAGACGCTCGATTCGAGTATAAACTTACCATATTCGACAACCGTTTGACCTTCCAAATGTGTCCGGAAATCTTCTAAGTGTGGTTCAATGACTTGATCTATTCTTGATTTGACTCGGATTGAGCTAGTTTTCATATCATTAGGTCTGTCTCATTGAGCCGGTCAATTTGATTATAAGTTTGCAGAAATTAGAGCTCTTGATGACTTTTTATCAAAATTTGAAAGTTTCTAATTTAAAATATAGTCTCGAGAATCGTGTCATGCCTCGTGATTCATGCTGGATGATGAAAATTTGCTAATGGCATATCAGTTGTCCCCCTATTTTCGGGCGAGACCATTTCTATCGTCCGAAAATATCAATATCCGGAGTACTTATGTTTAAGTATATATATATCTTTATATAAATGGAAAGCTGAACTCAGCTTAGTTGGTTAAAATCTTTTGTTTCATGTGGGAGGGCGGGGTTCGAATTCCGCCTAAAACAGAAGAAATAATATTTTTACAGAAGAATTTAAACCAACGAGGAATTTGAAGAGGAATTTGAATTTTGAAAATAAGATTTATAGAATTTGACACCTTTTTTACAAAAAAATAATGAGAGGAAATGAAAGGTTTTATTTTTTAAAAATTTATGAGCATTTAATGCTTACACTTATTTTTAAATGAGTATTTAATATTTGATTCCCTTGTTGAGCCTATAAATATGGGCCTAAAGGAGGGGGAAGAGGTGCGGCGGTGTGTCGTGGCGACGCATTGCAGCGGTGCAGTGCGGTCACGCGATACGACAGCGCGACACGTTGCGGCAGTTTGTTGAGGCGCTGTGTTGCATCAATGCATTGCGGCGACGTAATGTGTTGCAGCGATACGTTGCGGCGACGCGTTGCGATGGGATGAGACGTGACGGTGTGTTGCGACGAAATATTGCAGCGCAGAGACGCGTTGCGGCAATGCGTCGCGGCGTGACGATGCGTTGTGATGATGTGTCGCGATGACGTGACGCGTGGTGGCGGTGAGTCGCGATGCATTGTGGTGGGGCAACGTGTTGTTACGATGTGTCGCGACAATGTGTTGCAGCGAGGCGACGCGCTGCGTTAGTGCGTCGCGGCTTGAGGATTCTTTGTGACGGTGCATCGTGATGATGTGAGGCGTGGCGGCGGTGCGTCGCGGTGCTTTGCAGCAGAGCAACGCATTGTGATGGTGTGTCGCGACGTGTTGCAGCGTGGCGACACGTTGCGACAGTGAGTCACGACGGCGTGTTGCAGAAGTTCGTTGTGGCGACGGGTTTTGACGGTGAGTCGCGATAAAGTGACGCATTGCGGCGGTGAGTTGAGGTGAAGACTTGTGGTAAAGACTTGCGGCGTAGCGTTGAGGTGAAAAATTGTTGCAAAGAGTTGAGGTAAAGAATTACGACGTAGAGTTAAGGTGAAGAATTGCAGCGTGGAGTTGTGGCGAAGAGTTGCAGGGAAGTGTTGCGACGAAGAGAAAAGACGTCCCCGCCATGTGTAGCAGGCAAGCAACGGAATCTTCTTTCTCGTTGCGGCAAAGAGGAAAGTCGTCCTCTTCATGCGTAGCAGGCAAGCAACGAGATCTTCTTTCTAGTTTTCTCTCTTGCACGATCTGAAGGAGACAGAATTGTTGTAGCTTTCCTGTCGCGCTTTAACGAAAATATTTTTATGCTTATGTTCTGGTGATATCTGGAGGTCGCTTGGCAATCATCAGAAGTACCTGAGTTTTGGGGAGGCAATGTCAATCCTACTCGAAGATGAGTAGATTTGTTGTAGCATATTTGATTTTCATCGTTGGAGGGGCTTTTCATTTATTTTCTGCAATTTCCTGTGCAAAATGGATGTAGAACGCAGATTTGATCTCCAATCTGAAATACATCACTCTGAACAGTTGCTTGTATTGTAAATTTCAGTTGAATGAAAAGGTGTAACAGATTTGTTCTGTAGGCTTCCAACTCCCTTGTTTGATTTCCATTCATTAACAGTTTTGCCCCAATTCAAAAATAAATATATGACTTTTCTCTTCTGAAATAATTTTGCAGTGCAAGCCTCTCTAGCATCCTTCACATTTTTCAAAAAATGTATTTTTAATTTGTGCATCTCGCTCATATGTTCCAACTCCCCAATCTTATAACCATTCTCAAATAATTTTGCCGTGCAAGCCTCTCTGATCGATTCCTAACATTAATTTTACTCTTCTGTTTCATGACTTTGTTCTGTTATAGTAATAATATGGATAATAAGCCTAAAGAGGTTGCTAAACCCGCATTGTGGGAAAAAGACACGAAAATAAACGGGGAAATAAGCCTACGACCCATGTCAAAAAAGAAGGGTGGCAAAATATTACAAAAAATTTCAGGAATGTACAGGCAGGGAATATGACAGGTTGCAAATGAAAAACAAGTGGGACCAAATGAAGAAGGAATGAAAAATTTGGAAGGAATTGAAAAGGGGTTCTACTGGTCTTGGTTGGGATCCAGTGAAGCGAACAGTTGATGCACCTGAGGAATGATGGGCTGAAAGACTTGCGGTGAGCTATATTTGTAAACTTCTTG